AGGATCTGCATTTATCAAGATCCCGGAGAGGAGATGAGAAGCTCTGGGGTGTAGCAGTTTGCGCAGTGGCAGCCTGGGCGTCTCCGGCCAGGAGCACAGCAAGGTGGGGGTCCTCCTGCAGGGCAGTCTGGGAAACTAAAGCAGAGGCGATGCGGAGTCCTTCCCTGGCTGGCCCTTGAGACACCCATTCACCATAGGGATTACTGACCAGATACATGAAAATTAAAAGAACTTACTCCTGAGTGAGTAAGGGTTCTCTTCACCCCCAGGGGGTCTACGTGGCCAGCACCTTGGACTATGTGAGTGTAAAAGCCAGCTGCTTCCATGTTTGTGCTGGGGAGCGGCTGGCCCTCATGGTAGGGGCCGGTCTGTGCGCTCTTCAGTGCGATGGCAGCCGGGTGGGCTCCTGACTCAGCATCGCAAGTGAGCCTTTCTTTGTGAGTTGATAGGAACAGCCTGGACCAGTAAGACCCATGGAAAGAGATCTTGACATGCTCAAGAAAGTGTAATTTCAAGCTAAAGAAATATTATAGGGAGGGGAAGAGATGGGCAAAGAAATAGGCACGAAGAAAAGGGTTAATAAGTTGACCAAGAACTGCATTTTCCTGGCTGACTGTGTCTTTCGGGAAAGAGTCCGAGCTTCCTGATAGAAACATATTAGGGAGATGAGCTCATGCTGAATACAGTTCCTCTCAGGGGAGGCTGGATGAAAACAAGAGATCTGAGATGCTTTCTTGAAAATAAATCAGCTCTGAAGCCGGCTTGGAGGGGACTAGCAAATGACGGGAAGCCTGCAGGTCAGGGGTGAAACTCCGTGTGTATGAACAGAACCTGCCAGAGATGATATTAATTAGAACAAGAGAATGAACTAACTGCAAAAACAAACAAACAAACAAAAAACCCAGAAGTGATGTATTTATTGTCTGCAGCTCAGATTCTAGATCAAATCCAGCTTTTGTGACTTCTCTCCTGAGAACTAGACCAAAGGAACAGAAAACACAGGCTGGTTACACAGAAAGGCCTACGCTTTCTGTGGTTCCTCATTGAGTCTGTGGTCCCCTATTGAGTCTGTGGACTCAATAGTTTGGCCCGAGGTATTGAGGAAGAGAACTTTCTCGTAGAGATGTAGAATGAACCTTAGTAAGGCTGATGTTCCAAAACACCAATTCATTTGATCGTATTGTGCCACTCATCAAAATAATTGTCAGTTGCCCCTGGCTACCTACTAAATAAATGAAGTCCAGATTTTGTAGTTTAGAATTCAGTGACTTATGCCAAATCTAAGAGGCAATATGACAGAATGGCTGTTGGGGTCAGCCCTAGTTGAGTTTGAAAGTCTGCTGATCTCAAGTAAATCACTGAACCTTTCTGGACCCGTTTGGGAAATAAGGGCACCTTCCTTGTTGGGCTAATGGTTAAACAAGCTATTGGATGAAATGCACTTAGCACAGTATGTAAAACACAGTACATGGTCCATACTTGGCATTATTATTATTAGTTATTGTTGCTAATAATAAAGCTCCTCCAGCCTGCCTTTCTCTCTCTGCCTGCGGTTCGTCCACACCCGACTCTCCTGCCCAAGGAAGTGTGTCTGACCCTATCTGTGTACGCGTGCCCAGCCTCCCTGCTTTCTCACATGGTTCCCACTAATTCTTCCTGTCCAAATTCTTCTCATCCTTCCAAGGTGACCTACAGACTCCCTCTTTCATGCAGCCTTTCAGGGTAGAGTGCAGGGCAGATCTACCTGGTTTTCTCAGCATGAATGAAAATTGTTGATATGGTAGGTGCTCACAAATTGTAGAATGAATAAATAAATGAAAGAAAGCAAGCTAATGACAAGGTCCACCAGAAAGGCATTGATGGGAACTGGTAGGGGAACAGATCAGGGAGGGTTAGTGGATTCTGTGTGCCCTGAGGTGTAATTTCACTGCCGCCAATGGACCTGAAACAAAGGCAAATTCTCTTTGGGTTTCTTGTGTGTGACAAGAAAGCCAGCATTTTTCTATCAAATGAGGTCTGTAAAGTGCTTTTACACATATCAACCCGTAGAGTTAGCCTCTTACAGGCTAATGCCCTTCTCCTCTCACATCCTTGAACAAAACAGGCCCAACAAACTCCCTGTGGAGCCTGGGTGTTGACCCTGACCTCTCACTTAGCAGCTTTCTCCAGCCTTGAAAACCCGATAGAAGTTCCAGTTGTCCCACAAGTCACAGTCTAAAGCTGCAAGGTCCACTGGGCACACACAAGCCAGGAGGTCCCCCATGGCACCTTTGTATAAGCCGGGTGGATAAATAAACACCCTTTCCCCTGCACCCGGGTGTGTGGCTCTGCCTGGAGGGTATGGGCTGGAGAGCAGTTCCTACTGCCAGCCCCCCGGTGGGAAGCCCTGGTGTGGTGTGTCCGCTTGCACGCGCGGGCGCCACACACACACACACACACACACACACACACACACACACACAGGCTCTGATGCACAGACATGTGCGCTCGCTTTCTCTCTCTCTCGTAAAGAGATAATGTAATAGGGGTGCTCTTTTGGAGATTATATGTTCTAGGAGCTCAACACAGGTTTTGCAACCCAATATATTAAAAAAAATGGAGGCCCAGCATAGCTTTTCTTCCTGGTCTTTCTCAAACGCAAGAGCACTGGTATAGATAGCCAAGTACGTACATACCCCTGAGAACACAACTAGTCCAGCTAAACGGCCTGGCCTGCATGTGAATCATAGACATTCTGATTTCAGAACCTTACTCTATGAAACAGAGTTGCTCTCACCTTCCCTCAGGGCATGGGGGGCCAGGTGGATTTGAGTGCACACGGTTGGTACCCATTTCAGCCAAGCTCCTGCCTGCTGTGATCACGCCTTGCCCTTTTCTGGGTGGACAATCCTGTAACTATGCACAGCTTTCCTTTCCTTCTTATACTGTCAGCCTCTAAATGCATTATAGTCAATGACAAATATGCACAAGAATGTGCAAGGCCAATTTTTACCTGAAGATATGGAAAATTTGGGTGAATTTTAGTGCCACAGAGAGGTTTGAGCAACAGGGAAGCTGAGAGAGGTGCTGGCCTGGTCAACGTGGCTGGAGCCAGGCAAAAAATAAGTTTGACCTGACACATTTCAACCTCAAGGACCGAATAAATACCTGCTTTCTATTAGAATCAGTTATATTATAGGATGGAAATGTGCATTTCCTGTGGCCAAATTTTCAGTCATGGTTGGTGAGCCCTCACTTTAATAAATCCTAAGTTACCAAAGACCTTTTGTTCCATAAAATCCTCATTAATAATGTCACGTTTGTACCCACTGAATCACCTCTTTGTGTTGGCATACCCTCACAATTAGGGTCTGGGCTAAGAGAAAGCGTACTCAACTAAAGGACTAGATGTCAGATGGTGTATACTATACAGGCAGACCTTGGAGGCATCACAGGTTCAGTTCCAGCTCCTGCAACAAAGCACGTATCACAATAAAGTGGATCACATGAATTTTTGGTTTTCCAGTGCATATAAAAGTTATGTTTACATTATACTGTACCCTATTACACATGCAATAGTATTATCTAAAAAACAATGTACCTGCTTTAAGCTAAAAATATTTCATTGCTAAAAAATGCTACCTATCAGCGAGTCATAATCTTTTTGTTGGTGGAGGGTCTTGGAAAAATGCAGTATTTGTGAAGTGCAATAAAATGAGGTGTGCCTGTATTTCTTTGGGGCTCACATATTTCTGTGAAGGCCCACACTGTGGTCACCTGATATGGCTGTGTGGAACAGAGTTCATTCTCCATTTCTGTAACACGTCAATTCGTTTTTTCCCCTACACAATCACTATTTTGATTGAAGGAATTGTCTGGTCATCAGACCCAATCTCCTCAATATATATGACCTCTGAACTCTAAGTCCCCCACAACCCGCTGCCCCAAAAAGAAAAAGACAGCAGCCAACCTTCTGTGCAGAAAATAATGTTTCTTTGGACATTGAGAACTCCAGGGCTGTGTCAAAAACATGGACAATTGTGTGAGTCCTCTTGACACACCCCCGCCCCCCTCAGAGAGGGCTTCCTCAACATTAGCCTTGTCTTTTCCTCCAAACAAATGGTGACTACCCAGTTAGTGTGGTTTGAGTTTCTGGGCTCACCCAGCCACCTTCTGCAGCAGCAAGGCAAAGGGGGTGCTTTCCCATCTGCCAGGGTGTTCAACCTGGGCTCCCTCCACATACCCCAAGGCCGAGCTCTGCCCACTGTCTTCCCCCCAGCCTTTCCTGCTCATTGGACCACTGATTTGAAATATTTGGGGGACCTCATATGTTGCAGGGGGCTCAATTCACACCCCTTCCTTCAAATCAAAACTCAGAAAGAAGAGGGAAGAGAGAGCTGCTGGAGCACCCACCTCCTGCTCCTTGGGGAGGAAACAAACCACATACATCTAAAGGTGATTAATTGTCTTTATTGGAGGAAAACAAGAATCATCAGTCTCACTGTCATTATGATAGAAACCTTGATATGTGTACATGATTGTCAAGGCAGAGAATCATTTGCTACATAGCCCATTCACATTTTTTGCAGAGCCGCAAACCTATGAGGGCTCAACTTCTTGCAGAGTTTATTACATGCATGGACTAAATGCACAGTTTCCCTTCTTTTGGACAAGCATGTTTTCATAGAAAAGTGGAACCAATTGCAAGCCTGGTAATAATAGACATGGGGACATTCCTGGGTTGGACATCAGAAGCTTTTGGGAAACATGCTTAGTGCTGGGACAGCTGCAAGAAGGGCAATGACATTGTGTGTAGTGAGCAAAGCCAATTGAGAAATTGTCCCAAATTTGATTCTGGACTGAATGTATCTTTTATGCCTTCCAACATGAATGCGGGACTAAGATAAATGCTCTCTTTGAAGACCAAGCACTTCTGTTGCCATTTGGACGGCATCTCACACCACTCTGAAGGCCAAGTGCGCCAGGAAGAACACAAACAGTACTCTCCCCCTCTGCCCCCCGCCCCCTTCCAAGCCTGGCTGCCCCTGCTCCCGAGTGCGGGCCTCCCCGAGGGCCGAGGAGCCTCCGCCTGTCCAGTAATTTATCCTCTGAGAAGTAATTTATCTAGCATTAAGGGCTTTCGAGTCCCTGGTGACATCTTATCGCTATGACTAAAGCCTCAAACACTCCTCTTGTTTTCTTTTTTCCTGTCAATAAGAAAATAAAATCACCTCTAAGTGAAATAATTCGGTAAATAATCAGAAGACATAATCATTGTAGATGTTCCCTGGAGACCAAAAGGTTAAAAATGAATATGGCGAATGCAGAAGCGTTTTAGTACAAAGGGTGAATGCAACAGTTTGTCCCTTTGGTGTAGAAAGATACAGAGAAGCCATTCCACGCTTCACTTTGTCCACAAAACCATACCTGGCAGCCACATGCTGTGGGTTTGGCCGCCAAATGCGCAGCCTTTGGGTTTGTCGATGCGGAGCCCCAAAGCCCAAGTGGGGTGGCTCCCGCCGCATGTGCAGGGAACGCTGGGGGTGGGGCCGCTCTGCCCTCCCATGGCGGGCCAGGCCTCGACCAGCATGCAGGGCCCTCCTCACGGCGGGGCTGGGAGGCTGTGCCCAGGCCTGGTGGCAGATCGCGAGGCATGGGGACCACAATGAAGGTTTGGGCTAAAGGGGGCGTGGGCCTCCATCTTCTTTCTCCTCCCTGTCTGCTGTCCACAGTAGCTAGCTCACCTACAGGCTAGTTTTCTTCAGTCTTCAGGTAATGTCTCTCTCCTTTTAGGAAGCTTTTGCCCGATTCACCTTTCCTATCTTAACATTTTTCAATTCTGAAAACCAAAGGACTGGAGGAACACTTTTTTTTGCAAACGTCAGGTACACTTGAAGTCCCCAACTAGAACCGGACGCCCACCCCAAAGAATGGTGGATTCGTACAGTTACACACATTTTGGAGTCAAACTAAACAGTGTTTTGGTCTGGAATGTGTTAAGGAAAAGGCAAACTGCCGAGTGTGAGTAGACAGAACAGGGAAGTGGCCTTGTTTCAGAAGAACATGCAAAGGCTTCGCGTGCACTGGTTGAGTCAGAGAACCTTCATTTCACTGGCCAGACGCTACCGTGCGACCCTGGGAAAGAGCGCATGTCATTTCCGTTCGTGGAAGGGGAAGGAGCTGCCCTTGGCCAGCCCTTGCTCCCCTTTCTCAAATTCAAAGGCAACCGCAGCACGCTGTGGAGATTGCACAAAGCAGGGCACGTCGCTTGCAGGAGCACAGAGGTGACGACCCAGAGCTCCTGTCCTCAGCCCCGCAGTGATGGTGGTTCAGTGTGGCTTCTCCCGAGTGAAAGCAATAGCGGCCAAGGCTCTGGGCGGGCCACAGGGCCACAGAGGCCAAAGCCTTAACAGTACTGAGTTATCTCCACTGGGATACAGTCTTTTCTTTCTGCTTCAAACGGCTCCTGAACTGTCGAACCCCAGCGAGTTACCCAGATTAAGCTCTTATTCCTTGAGGGAGGGCCAATCGCCTTTCAGGGGGGTTCCTTAGGCTCCCTTCATCTCTGGTGTCCTTGGCTTTTGTTCTAAAGGGGAGTCCCCTTGTCCCACCCACAATCCATCCAAGCCATGCTGGACACCAAGGCAGACAAGTGAGTAGGATGAGATTAGTGCAGGTAAACTGAGTTTTAGGGTCACGTTCCTAATCCCTTTCATCAGATGGCTCATGCTTCCTCAGTGCCAGCACCTGGCCTGCTTAGCCAGAGGGGTCTTCTGCTCCACGCCGACTGCCAAGTTCCTGGGACACTATGCTAAGAGCTAGCTGGAGAGGGGACCCTCGAAGGCCAAGCTCCGCGCCGGTGGAGCTGCTCCACTCCTGTGGTGAGATTTTAGAAGGGGCTGGAATCACTGCCATAGTCAAGAACACAGGGCCATGCATGCTTTCTGGGGCATGCTTTCTGCATAGTTTTCTTTGAAAAGGGAACATGAAGGGGACATATCCTCTCTATTCCCCTGTTGTGCTGGGGGCAGTAGGAGGTGGCCAAACTGTCCGGAGCAGCTCTGGCTAGCTGTTGGTTCCTCTGGGCATCTTTTTTTGAGGGTGTCCATGGTCATGGGCACTTTCCACGGGCAGATCCTGCCCCTCTCAGCTCCAGCTGCTTCCACCCGACCCCAGCCCAACGCTCCGGACCCCAGGGTGCTCACTGAGGGACAGCAGTGAGCAGTCTGGACTCCGGGGGCCTGGTTAAGTGATAAGCTGCTGGTCTGTCGGGGACCTGCGTGTGGGCACACGCTCACTGTTTCAAATTTGAGCTTCGCCTATGGCCTCTATGGTGAGATGAAGGTCAGGGAAGTGAGGGAGGCACAAATAGGGAGCTGCAGAGACCATTCGAGGGCACTGTTTCAAATGTAATACTCGAGAAAAAATCCACTTGTTCTCAGAAGGTGAAGAGACCAAATGGGGGGCTTGGTGAGAGGGAAGGCTGTGGTGGGACCAGTGGTCCTCCCTTAGCCTCAGCCATACACTGGCTGGAGGGTGAGTGTAAACTGGGAGCACATATGAGATGCTCGGCTACTGTTGGTGGAATCAGACATCGTCGAGGGTCCTGGGACTCTGTCACCCACTGGGCAGGTCTTAACAAAAGGCACATTCTGGGTTCTCTTCCCATGTGCTAATGAAGCATAAGTAATAGCAAACACAGTTGAAAGAGAACCTCTAGCCTTTATGCCTTATGCCACTCATGTTCTCTCAAAAGTTTAAAAGTTCTTCCATACGGTAATTATTTTCTCCTCTTCATAAAACAAGAGGAAGTAATCTAACTCTGGTGGCACCGAGATGGTATGGATTTGCCTGATGTTGAGTTCAACCTTTGGGACGAAGCCCGTCACCATCCCCGGACACTGTGTGACTGTGTCCTGATGTGTTACAGGCCGAGCATGGCCAGGGGCCGACCCGAGCCACAAGGGGCACACTGGCTGCAGGACCTGCCTTTCGGCTGTTCCGCACTTTTAAGGTAAGACACACTTTCAAACTAACTGAATATAACATGCACGCCATGTATCAGCTCTGGAAAATAACGTAATCACCAATAATGGAATTTGGTTTCAAATGTTGCTTTCCCAATGCAACTGCCTGCATATCACGCACAGTACCATGAATGGATGACTATGCAGCCCGTGTTATAGGTATGAAATTCAGGCAAATTTTCACCCCCATGACATCTAATTACTTGTTTTCTGATATTGTAGAAGCTTCAGGTTCCATCACACTCATTAATAAGCAATATCCTACTAAGCCTCCTGGAGAGATGCCTCCAGTTCCTCAGATTTTCTTTACAAAATTCATGCTATTGCATGAGGGTTGGGGGTGGGTTTGATACAGATCCAACTCAGCCGACACTTGTTTTGCAACTGGGTCTGTTGTCATTTTATAGGTTTCAAGGCTTTTTACAGATTTTGAAGAGCGATAGCCTGATTCTACTCTGGTTGCATGTGTGGCAGATGCCAAGTGGGATTCCCTCCCAGGGGCCGAGTGCCTCTGACGTTATGTGGGAACAGGGTAGACCGGCTGCCTGTCTTTCCAGCTGCTCTTCGCAAACCTGCACTGCCCCCCTAACAGAGGCAAATGGAGCTCTGAACCTCCTGACACTGGGTGTGTGTGCGTTAGGGAGGCTATCCCTCAACATCTGGCCTGGACATAGGCAAAGACGTGCAAGTGATGAAGACGGATTGACCAACAGGACCTGCCAAGTTTGGCCGACTGCAGGAGCAGGGCGTGAGGACAACAGTGGACCTACAGGGGCCCACAATGGGCTCGGGCTGACTGCGCGGAACGCAGGCTCAGGGCGCCGCACGGCGCTGACGGAGGGCTTTTGCAGAGTCGGCACCTGGAGCCACCTGCCTGCCTCTGAGACAGCGCCCTTGAGTCCTCCTTGAAAAGCAGTCTGCCCTGGATTTCACACTGCACCGCTCTGTCTTGCACACCTACCCACCGCTCGGGTGAATGCCGTGGCCCGGTTTGCCCGGGCCATTGCCCATTTTAGCACTGAAAGTGCTACGCCCCAGAAATCCTTCAGTCCCTGGCTAACTGGGCCTTTGGCGACAACGATCACAGGTCTTTGGCTTTCAGATGGCCCTGGTCAGAGGGACAGCTTCACGTGCCCGCTGAGCCTGGCTGAGACAGTCTCTGGCCATCACTTCAGCCAGTGTCCCGCTGGCTTGGCAGGTCACCTCTCCTCACCACCCCAGATAAATGGATTCTCTTCCAAGGCCATTTCCCTCTCCTCTTCCAGATAATATTCATACAAGAACAGAGTAAAAATATGCAGAAACAACTTATGTGAGTTGGAGGTCATTTTAAGCGTAAGATTAGAAATGCATTTTTAAAAAAACAGAGAGAAAGAGAGATTAATTTGAAAACTGCATAGCTGAGAGCAGAGCTTTCATGGGTTACCCCTCATGAGAAATAAGCAGCGTGGAAAGTTCCCGTTAAACAGAACGGCGTCTCGTTCCTTTTGTGAGAAAGTCCTTACACGTCTGCCGGACGGGCACCTCCTTCACAGCAAGTCTAGCTTCTAAAGTCTCGGGGGAGCAGGCTTCTTCATTTCTGAATGCTGATGGCAAGAGGCCCCTGGGTTTCTCGGGCTGGCGGGGGTTTGTCAGAGGAGCTGCCAGGAAGGGTTCCCTCCCAAAGCGCCCAGAGGGAAGACAGGCCTGCAGAACCGCGGAGGTGTCTTCTCAGAGTGCGGCCCCTCCAAGGATGGCGACAGAGAGAGAAGGGATAGAAGTAAAGTGCACTCTTCACCTTGGAGACAGATTCTCAAACCTCTTATTAGAAATTCGGAAAATATTCCATACCTTGAAACTTGACTTGGAGGAAACAAAATTTCTTAAGGGTTAACATAAAACTCTGCTACTGACAAGCAAAAGATATAGGTCATGTAACCAAGAAGTACAGATTGCAAGGACATGTATCTTAAAAGGAAAAAATAAACCCTAATGCACAATATTTACCAATACTTAAATAATCCAGTTGAAACCTTTTTTTTTGTCATTAATGAAAAAATACAACATAGATGGTTACCTATACTGAGAAAAGCAGAAATGACAGAAGCCGGGAGAGGACACAGAAGTTCGTTCCATTAGAGCTTTGCAAGATTCATATGTACAGCACCAGATCCTATTAAATCAGCTCCCTTGAGCCAGTACAGTTTATGAGAAATGAACACTTCAGAATTGCAGTATAAAATATGGCCATAAAAAAACTTCTGTCTTCCAGTCCTGTGCAGGAAGGTGCACCATGCAAGGTGGGATCACTCTGGAGTGGCTGGTGGCGCGGGTGGCCCCTCGGGGCTCCCGTCCCTGGCTCTGCCCGAGGCCCCGCCCCTGGGCCCCGCCTCCAGAGCCAGTCACTTGCTTCCAGAGTGCACTGTCGTCACAGTGGTGGGCCTCGGCCTCCGCTCCGCTCCCACTCCTGAGACCCCTGACGAAGAGGAAATGAAACTACAGAGCGTGGAGGGTGCCAGACCTGCAGGGACAGGGGACACAAGGATTCACAACTTCAGAAGGAGGCACTCCCCCTTCCTGCCATGGGGCCTGTGCGGGGGCCAAGCTTCTTCTACAGGCCGGACTCTAAATTTTACCTACCATAGGAAAACATTTACAGTATGTCCAGAATGCTTTCTCCTTAGACTCGACTCTTCCCTCCTTTTTTCCTTATAACTGCTTTGACTATGACATGGTTTAGCCACCATAATATGATTAGTTCCATTTACTGAGCACTTACTATGTACCAGGCATTGGCTAGCTGTTGAATACCCACTGCCATTATGAGAACTGTTTATTTTTTTTTTACAACTGCTTCATGGAGTAGTTATTTTGAGAATGAATAAAGAATGGAATATACCCCTTTATGACCCCTGCTTGGTGTGTGGGCTGTACTCTTGGCTAAGAAGCATTTGTGACCAGGGCACACTGAAATGGGGCTGTTTGCTGATTCCTGTGTGAATGCAGCAGCCCCCTGTCCTGAAAAAGTTCCTCACAGACTGCAGCACAACGCTTCCCAAGCAGCTGTGCTGGCAGCAGAAGGTTTAGATGTGAGCCAGCGAGGCTCCAGTAATGTGTTCCCCCACGAACTTTGCAGGCTTGGGAGAGCCGTAAAGTAAGTGATTATGATGGCTTCACTGCCACAGCCACTGTCTGGATCCTCAAAGAAAGGATCGACTGCAGGTTCCCTTTCGGCGGAGGGGGGACAGGAGCTACGTTGAACTGTGGATGTGGGTCTACAGTAGTGTGCACCTGGGTCAGGGACACTTGGGGAGGCTTCTTGGAAAAATGGAAGGGCTGAACATTCTGGAATGAGATGGAAGGATTATTTAGTGATGAATGAAACCTTTTTCCTAGGGAAATGGGAAAAAAATGTGATGCCCAGAATAAACCAAGCTGATGGGAGCTCAACGGCTTGGGAGATGAGGGCTGATGGGGCAGGTCCCGGCAGCCGCTCTACGGTGGAGAGGAGCCGTGGGAGTGGCCTGACAGGGGGGCAAGGCGAACAGACAGAGCAGGGGTGGGGGTGGGGGGGAGAGAGAGATAAGGAGAGTGTAGTGCGCCCTCTGTGACGTAACATTCCGTGCAAAGGTGACGGACAATCAAATGTTATCACTATCACTCTGACTGTAAAGCCAATGCATTTGATATAAATCAGCTCCAATTATTATCATCCTCATCAAAAAACATGTATGAAAAGTCCACAAGATCAGGCCATCATGAGTCTCTGCCATCCTTTGCTCAACCCCTAAGAGTGACTCACAATGACAAGGGCATCAGAGGGCAAGGAGATAGAGCAGAAAGTGTCTGGGCTTTTGTCCAGACAGACATGAACCTGAAGCAGATCTCTCATCTATAAATGGAAATAACAGTGCCTACGTTTGTGTGAATATATAATAATTAATTTTTGGAATGTAAATCAGTGTAGCAACTATAAAAAACAGTATGGGGGTTCTTCAAAAAAATAAAAACAGAGTACATATGACCCAGCAATCCCTCTTCTGGGTATCTACCTGAAAAAATTGCACACACTTATTCATATATGTACTCTCATGTCCATTGCAGCACTATCCACAGTAGCCAGGACATGGAAACAACCTAAGTGTCCTTCAGTGGATGACTGGATAAAGAAGATGTGGTACATATACACAATGGAATACTACTCAGCCACGAAAAGGAAAAAAAATCGGCATTTGTGACAATATGGATAGATCTTGAAAGTGTCATGCTAAGTGAAATAAATCAGATGGAAAAGGACACGGACCTTATGACTTCACTCATATGTGGGCTATAAAACAGAAAGCAACAGACACACACACACAGAGCAAATTTATAGACATAGATGACAGGCTGGTGGTTACCAGGAGGACGGGGAGGTGAGGGACGGATGAAGAGGGTGAAGGAGGTCAAATACACGGTCAAAGAAGGAGACTAGGTTTCAGGTGATAAGCACACAATAAAGCATAAAGGTGTCATACTATAAAGATGTGCACCTGAAACTTGTATAATGTATTGACCAATGCTGCCCCAATAAGTCTGATAAAAACGAAAAATTTTTAAAAATTAAATCATATTCTAACGTTTTTAGGGGTATCAAATGGGATAAATTATTGAAAATGCCCGACATACAGCAGGTACTCAGCAAATGACAGTGCTCTCCTCTCTATCCCAGATTTGTCTCAAATGTCAGTGGCAAACTCTGTTCTTGCTACATACGCACAATCTTTTTGGCTGGCCAGGCTGAGGCTGCTCGAAACACTTGCATTTGAACTGTCCAGGCTGCTGCCGAGGTGCAGTTTTCTCATATGTCTCACAACGGCTGTGGCGTTAAACGCTTGCTGAAGTTCAACAAAGGAAAAAAGCAGACAAAACAATTCCAGTTAGTGAAAAAGATGCAGACTCTCATATCACTTTTCCTGTTACCCTAACTATCTTGAACTTCTGAAAGTGTTCTCGTGATGCTCTAGAAAGGAAATATATATTATCCCTTCTTCCAAAAATACACTGGTGTGTTTGCCCCTCCCCAAATCAAAACGTATTTTGGAGGTTAAAAAATAGTTTCCTTCTTCTATAATACACATAGAGAATAAAGGTAAACCAATTCTCTATAACCTAAGAGAAGTGGCTGTTAGAATAAAAGGCATATTATAAGAATAGAGTACCTTAAAATAATGACATTTTAAGATAATTTTAATTTTCCTATCATTGGTGATTTTGCCCTAAATAATAGCATTTCCTCTGAGTAAAGGAGGTTGGTGGGATTAATTTAGTAGTTTCTGTATGATCTCTCACTGTTGGCACCTAACTGCCCAGGCTGAGTAGAAAGCAGGTTTAGGGAGCCAGTTGGTGATCACAAGCCCTCAATGGTTTACATCCATCCCATTTTTACCAGAAAGTACAGAGGACTTCAACTCAGATTTCCTGTTTGTTTCCCCTTCGTGTCACTTTACTACAAGCCGACTAGTCAAAGTTCCAGTCAAGGGGGAAACAGGGGCTACACGAAGACCCACCAAATGAGTCAGCGCCGGCACTGATGCTATTTTTGACTCACAGAGGGGCACTATTAAATCACAGACTTCATCCCTCTCACATCGCAATACTCCAAGTCTTCGTCTTTATTGGTTAAAATTAGTAAAATTATTTGGATGAGGTCCTAGGGATTTTCTTCAAACACAGGTGGCAGTAACCCCTTAAATAAAAGGTGCTCAAACTGCGCAGCATGTGTTCCCATGAGGGGTTGAACTCACAGGGAATTTGATCAACAAGGAACTTACTCTCCACTTGCTCTTGGCGAAGTTCTTCCGGATCTGGGCGCTAACGGACTCGTGGATATTTTTGTTGAGGGCTGTGTCACCTGCGATCCTGAAACACAGGCAAAGATGCTTCTTCAAAAGGGTTTCTTGGGGCTTTGACATCGGCCCTGCCTCCCCGGGGAGAAGCCTCATCCTGACCCCTTCCTGAGGCTCACAGAGAGGCTGGCCTGCCGCTGCCCGCCCTCCCAGGCACGGCTCTCGTCTGGCCCCACGCGACGTCCACCGCCGCACTCAAGGTCCTGGCCAGTTTCCACACGCTGCAGCCGCTGCAGGGTGGGTCAGCACCTCTGCCTGGCTCTCGCTTTGTCCTTTTTTGACCCCCATTCCTGCAACATCCACAATGACAACACAACCTTCTCCTTTCCCCTCCCTTCCCCTCCCTTCCACCCCAGCTTTCTACCTGCACCATCTCAAATGTATTCCCTGCGTGGTCTGACCACCAGAACCTTCCCAGGGCCTTCCTCCCGCCTGAGGCCCCTCTCTCTGCCTTCTCTGGGCCCTCTCCCCCACGGGCCAGCCTACATCCAGGCCCCGCAGCTCCCCTCTGGTTCCGCCCACGCTGAACTAAGCCCTGCAGCCCTCCGCTCACCCGCAGCCCACACCTCAGCCCCCCAGCACCTCCTCTGTGCGCAGTGAGGGGCTCCCCAGCCCTCGCCCAGCCACCTGGCACATCTCCTCCTGAACTTCCCAGACAAGCTCTCATAAATGCCAGGACCACATCCATTTTACATTCAACAGGGTCCTAGGTATTACTAGGCATTAGTTCTAGCTTGTTCCCTAGCCTTCTATTAGCGAAGAAGAAGGTAGGTTTGCTCCTTACCTCCTGTCCTTAGAGTTCCTCCTCGTCCTGTGACTTAACTTCCTCCTTCTGACCCCCTGCCCCATCTCACACCTCCCTCTCCCCGTCCTCTCTCAGCTCACAGCCTCTCTGGTCTCAGTAATTACCTGGAGGTCTCTCACAGCCCACTCTTCTCCCACACACCTTCCCTCCTCATTCAACCACTGGTCTTTCCCCTGGATTCAGAGGAAGCTTGATTTTATGCTCAATCTTCTGGGCTTAGAGCCTTCCATCTTCCCTTTCCTTTTCAGCAAACTATGAAATTCTAGGCTGATACCTGAAGAAATAATTTATTGCATCTTGGACAAGTTAAAGGGCAGACAGATACAAGGGACACTGACCATCCTTTCTGGCTGGAAGTGATGTGAGAAAACCTGTTGTCTCCCAGACCTAGAGGGTCCTGGACACAAAACAGCCCAGATGCCAGACTATTGAGTCCACATGTTTTGGGAAATGAAAGGAAGATGCTTAGGGTTTATTTAGACGAGAAATAATCCCTGGATAAAAAAATATATTCCTATCTAACCAGCCTTTCACTTTAGAACTGAAAACGTAGTTGAGGGACTAAACATTAAGTTTGTGTCAGGCTGGGCCTAAGTTTTGATCAGTCTGATGTTCCCACTAAAAGCGGCTCCTCCATATAAACTCCTGTCTTGTTCCCAGCAGGGCTGAAGATACCTAGCCAAGAGGATGCTCAGAACCTAACTGTCATGAACCAGATTTCCACTCCAAACAACTGTCAACCCCCCACACCCCCCAGGCACACACAGTGAATAGAAAGAGGATATCTGAGTGGGCAATCCGTCCAAAATCAGAGTAATGAGGAGGCTAGGGGGCTGTAGACATCTTTACTAGGCTTTTTCTCCTAGAGAGTTTGTGCGAGCATTTCTTCCTACACTCTTTATAAACACTCCATCCTCAAAAAAGGAGGCCATTCCAACCCGTCGGTGGCCAGCTCTTTCTTGGAAACAGCCACACAGAAGTGGTAGGAAGCATGGAACTCGTGGGGCTGAGCACGGCCGCAGGGCAGGGCCGCGCTCCAAACCAAGCAGACCGGTGAGCAGGCAGGGAGACTCCCTTCTCTGTGGGCGAGCATGGGCCCAGATGGAAGGAACACGAGCACTTCCAATTATTTCAGGAATGTTCCGTGCTCACTTCCCACAGTGCTGGGGTACGCTGTGCTAAGAACGAACGCAACAGGGCAGACGACGGTGGTCCACAGGCTGCTGCTGGGCAGTCGTCCTGGGGGTGCAGCCACCCTGCGCCTGACGGCACAGGATCTCCCTCCCACGGGCACCACAGTGGAATGGCAGCTGCTGCTCGCAGTGAGCCAGGAAGGTTACTATGACAACCTGTGATGCTCTTGATGCTCGGTGCTACTAACTTCAGCATTATTCATCAACAGAAGGGGACACGGAGTCTTAGTATTGGAAGGAGCCTTAGTTGTCATCTCAATTGTCCTAGGAATGCACAATGCCTCTGATACAGGAGAATCTCCTTATAAATCCCTATACACTACACACACACACACACACACACACACACACACACACACACACACACCATGGACAGTCACATTTTACTCAGATCTCCTGCTCTCCCTGGATTTTCAGTTTACCTCTATTCCAACACTGCAGATGGCACTTATTATAAATATTATATGTATTATAAATCACACTTTGTCCTCCTTCACACACACAGCATCAAACTCATCTCTCCTTGCCTTTTGGCATTTTTGTGTTTTATATGCAGGCTGCCCTACTTCTGCGGTTCTGATTTTGCATTTTTCTAGCCACTTGTTTAAGACAGGCTTGGCGATGCCGGCGTGTGTTTCAGTCAGGGGTTTCCCAGACTCCTGGGTTGTGTCCTAATTCCAGCTTGGCTGGCTGGAGACAGGAGACAGAAGGGGCTCCGTGAATGCTGAGAAGAGGGCTGCAGGTGCCACCCTGGCCTGGCTGAAACACCAGGTCCTGAAGGTGGGCACAATGCCATTGCCACGGGGCACTGTGACACCTCGAGCACCGATGACCAGGATCATCACTTTAGTTTGCTTGCCACTGAAACTGGAGACTGAGGTTTACAATAATCTGAACAGGACAAGTGAACCCCATCAAGGTGCTTCCTTGTGACCGGGAACGGGCTCCCACAGGCCACTCACCATATCCTGCTCTCTGGCCACCGGCCAGCCACCTGCTGGTTCCTTTCCATGCACCACCAAGAGAAAGGCAGAACCGCCAGTGAGGGGCTCAGGAAACACCTGGTAGGATGGGCTGACAGCCCTCCCCAAGGAGCCTTCCCCTGTCTGGAGTGGTCTACCTTGAGGCTCAGGGGAGGCGTCTGTGACTTCCAGAGACCTCGCCTGGACCTCGGTGGCCTTGGTTAAGCTGGACGAGCAAGGATAGAATAAGAGAAGCTGCCCTCTGGAGAGAGCTGATGCGCTGAGACCGCGGATCCCAGGATGGCGATGTGGGCAGAGCTCCACGTCACTGGGACGGTCACGCTCCTCTGTGCTGGCTCTCAGCTGAATCCGCGGTCTCTTTCTCCCGAGGAATTTCACATAAAAGAAACAGGTATGTCATGCAGGCAGGCAAGTGGGGCGTGTCAATGCTGCTTGAGTCAAATGTATTCTTTTTTAAAAAATCATTTTCCAATGTTTGATTTCTTGGGAATTTTGAATTGAATGGTAACAATTATAAAACACAGGGGGGAAAAGGCATCTTCTGAAGAAGGCATCTGTTTGTTCAGCTCACGTGCTAACACGTCTTAATGTGAGCCAGGCTGGTGACTCAGGCCTTCATCTCCTGCTTGACCTTTTCCCCTGAGCTCCAGGTTCACTCAGCAAAGCACACACCACCGATCTCCATCTAGACAACCCCGTACCTTCCTCATTCTCCTTCACACAAGCCTGCTTGCTCTCCTAGTACAATCCTCTGCCCAGCCCCCTAAACTGGAAACTCGGTAAGAACCTCAGACCCCTCTCTTTGCCTCACCCCACTCACAAGTGCTCTGTCGAGGACCTAGAGTTTCCCACCATGGGAGTGTCTCTTGTGGTCTTCTCAATCCCTGCCCACCCCTGTGCCACTGGGTGGGCCACCCGCACCCTTCTCTGGGCCGGCCTTCTCTCGACCCCCCATCTGCACCTTCCTGCCACCCTCCACGGGCCATCTCCACAAGTCATCCTCTATCGGGCAGCCAGGCTGAGCTTTCTGAACACAAATCTGACCACCCTGCTTAAGGTCTTCCAGGGGCCCCCACTGTCCAAAGGGGAAAGTGCAAATTCCTTAGCACAATACTAAAATAATGGCCACTCATAGAGATCGGAGATGTATTAGGCACTAGGTACTCTTCTTGTTTTTTATATGTATTATCTCATTTAATCCCTAGAAAAGCCCTGTAGGATATGCGCTGCTGTTATTTATGATCTCAGTTCTCCAGGGGAGGCCCAAAGTGTTAAGAAGCTTGCCCACCGCTCAGTAACAGTGGTGAAACCAAGACCGGAACTCCAGGAGGCTCCACGAGGGCTCACGCCAGAACCCCGGTTCTGCTTCCTTTCTAGTCTCACCTCCTGCTCCGCTCCTCTGTCCCCCTCGCTGGCACGAGGGAAGGGTGTGCAGTGGAAGCCCCGAGCGCAGCCCAGGTCGCTCGCCTGCCCTGGACCCCCTCCCTATCCTGACGACCTGGTGAAAGAGTTCACTCAGCGCCCCGCTCAGCAGGTCTGTGAAGTTCTTGACTTCCGAGCCCACCCTGTCCCTCCACCGAGCTCCTCAGGAAAAACGATCTCTCACTTCTTTGGGTTTTCAAAAATGGCTGGTGAAGGAGAAACTGGGCTTTAACTGGCTTCCTTCCTGCCTTCCACGAAGTGAGGCCATAATTGTGAAGAAGTACTGGAAGCAAATCACTGCCCTTCTCTTGAGGTCATTTTCCTCTTTTATAAGATAATCCCCAAAGTCTCATACATATAAGATCAATGAGTATTGGGGATGTAATATATGACAGGATGACTGTGGTTAACAGCACTGTATGGTATATCCTAAAACTTCTCGTTACAGGGAAAAAGCAATTTTTTGTAACTATATAAGGTGATGGGTGTTAACTCAAGTTATTGTGGTGATCATTTCATAATAAATATGTATGTCAAGTCATTCTGCTGTATACCTTAAACTTACACAGTGTTGTATGTCAAATATATCTCAATAAAACTAGGGGTGAAAGTCTTACAGATTTAAAGTCCTATTGTTTATAAAGTAAGAGAATTTTACTCTCTTTATGGTCACATAGTTTAACCTATTGTCCAAAGTGACTTACTAAAAAAAAAAAACAAAAAAACCCCAAGATGACACATAATCCAAATTGCCTCCTTATTCAGAAACTTATTTATTTTCCCCTCTAGCCCACTCCTTCCTCCCCCTTTATGCCTCCTATCTGCATGGTGGTGAAGAGCTTTCATTCTGGAATCACACGATTCTGGCTGGAAACAGTTCTGGCTTTGCTATTGGCTGGTTGTATTGTCTTGGTGAAGTTTCTTTATCTTTCTAAATCCATTTCCTTACCACTGACATAGAGGTAAAGGCTACCTCACAGAGTTGCTAGAAATGAACAAAATAAGATGCTATTTTAATGCAATTAGCACAGTGCCTAGAACATAATAGGTGCCCCCACATGACAGCCGTTATTATAAATTAAAATACTGTAAAGCTGGGTCATGGCGCTACCCTAAGCAGGTCCCCTTTTGGGGGCTAACCAGCACATGATACCCTGCAGGAAACGCTACGGGAGAGGGTGGAATAAACAAGAGGAGTGTTTTCTAGAGTGTTTCCCAGGGGTATTAATTTTCATTATACTGTGTATTTTACTACTGCAGGCCTTTGTTTCAAAATGGATGCTCATGGTGCTTTAGTAATAATAGCTTACTGAAGTATTTACTATATGCCAGACACTGTGCCAAACCTTTACATGTATTATCTCCATTATTTCTTATGTCAGCCCTGTAAAGTAGGTATCAGTACTCTCAACTTAAAGATGGGAAAGTGGGGCTCAGAGAAATAGAAACACAAAGTCACAGCTAGTTGATAATGAAGGTGGGTTCAAATCTAGTAAGTGTCGCTAGATTTCCCTCAAGGGCACTGCTGAAAACGTATATAGAGTGCCATGAACTACCAACTAGCCCCTCTGGAGTTGAAGAAACACTAACATGAAAAGCATCTGAAAAGGAAAAAAATATATATAACACTTCATTTAGCTACTGAGTAATGAACTCAAGGAATAAAACTCCCATCTTAATGCCTCATTGGGCAATTACCTTCGATAAAAAATGATCCCCCCCCAAAAAAGTCATGTAAAGTGAAAAAGCTATAGCTGTATTTTGCACACTTAACTTGTCATTAGTGCATTTAGAAGAGTGAGCCTGAGGAACAAAAGATTTCAAGTGTTGGCACGGCGACAGGATTAAGGCCGCTGGCCAGAATGAAATGCGATCATTACTGTGGCTCTCGCAGCTACTGACAGTCAACAGGAGGTTTCCCCTGGGACGGCAATAGATACACGATCTCTTGTGGGTGCTCTTTCTTACCATGGGTGCCGAGCTGCCTGCTCACACGTGTATCTTTTATTTGGATCCTTCTCCATCAGATTCCGAATGAAGTCTTTCGCTGTTCAGAGAGAGCACAAGGGAAGGAATCAGTCTGCGGCTTGAGATGAGAACAGCCCTCCATGGATGTGATGGTACCTTGGACACAGGTACCAACATTTGGGGAAAAGGGACGCCAAGGTTTAGAACTGCTAATGGGGACCTGCCGATGAAGAGGCAGCCAAGCCAGGCCTGAGACTCTGCCTGCCCAACTCAAAATTCCTTTCCTCTGGCAGCTAGTGACACTGCTGGTTCAGAGATGAAACATCTTCGTCACCATGAGCCCTTCACTCTGCTCACCGCTGCCACGGGGAGCTGTTTTGCTGATGTCCTCTCTGTGTTTTAGATATCACAGAGTCAACAAAACCCCCGGAGCATCTGCTAAGCCGGCCAGGTCTTAGGCTGGTGACGCAGTGCCATGCACCCGTGTGGGAAACTAAGAGTGTCTGGAGGCCCAGGGTGGGGTATAACCCCACAGCAGGACACTGAGAACATGTGAGACTGGGTCACAGAATCAGAAGATGATTCCGTGGGCCAGGCTGGAAATCTGCAGCCTTGCAGGGTCTGGCCGCTCGCTGCCCACTGGCCTGGGCTTCAGGAGGAAAGCTGTGCCCTTCCCAGGTCAGAAGTAAAATGTTACCCACACGGGTCTTTCCGCGAGCCTTGGAGAACTGTACTCCAGGTTTCGGAAAGTTGAGGAAAGACGCAGGATGTTTCCAGTCAGGAGGAAATAACACAAATAATAAAATGCAATATTGGAATAGTTCATCAGTGAGTATAACGATCTGTTTCATTTATTATTTTTTTGACTCTTATACCACCCTCTTTGATAGGAAGGAGGATTACTACTGTCCTCTTCATATCAGCTTAAGAAAGTTCATCAGTTTACATGGGCTTTGGTTTTGATCTTCATCCCTGATGAAGAAATACTGAACTTCCCTGGGAACATTTTGGTGTGGCATGGTCGCTGAGAGGTGGGTTCTGGGGTGTGGCTTGGGTTCAAGAGCCAGCTCTGTCACTTACTACCTATGTGACTTGGGACAGCTTATTTCATCTCCTGGGCCTCAGTTTTCTCCACTGCCAGACGGAGATAAAAGTAATACCATCTGACAGGTGGCCCTGAGGACTGAGGGAGGCAGCACGTGTATGCCACTTGCAGTGCTCAGTAATACATAATAAGCACTGCTGGGGCGCCCAGATCAGGGCAAGGCTAGAGTTTGGTGGTGGAGTGAGTCCCTGTCCTATGGCTTGATTTGGGCCCCTTGTCCCAAGTCTGTCCTTCACTTTGTAGGTCAAGCCCAAGTGAAGACCATCCTGCATCCCCCTTCTCCCATCCCCCATCCTGGGCCTCCAAAGGGTCAGGTGGTCTGAATGTAACTTCCCTGGGCCGTGGACCAGGAGCCAGACAAGACTTACCAGAGTCCGAAATGTCATCCCAGTAGGGGGAGTCAAACTCATACTCCGCCTTGAGGATCTGTTCAAAGAGCTTGGAGTCATTTTCATCATAAAAAGGAGGGTAGCCACAGAGTCTGGAAGAAAACATGAAGTAAGGGTCTGAAATGCTATGTCTCCAGTATAATGGTTAGACCGCCTGCCTGGAAGGAAGGGCCGCTTTCACTCCAGCTGAGCAACCCTGCACAGATGATCTCGGCAAAGCAGTTGCACGATCTGCCAGCCCAGGTGGCACAGAAATTAATTTGGGATTTAATAAATGGCAAAAAGTCCATCTTAACTCTCTGCACATTAATCAACACAGAATCCCTTACACCCTAAAAAATCTACCAGACAGCCTTCTGTGTATAAATGTTATTGATCTTATTGTCTATAATATTGTCCCTTTATAGACAATGTATTAATGGAAAAAAATAAACAAAATTTAAGTGTACTATACATTTTAGGGCCCCTTCCAGGTTCATTTTGTTTAATAAATCATCATAGGAAGAAAAGGAAATTTTATCAGCATGAGTACCAAGTTGCTACAAGTCACCCTAAACTGCATATTCTCACCCTATCATGCCCAATCCAGGTATTTGAAAGGTTAGAGTTTTGCCAGATATTTGAAAGGTTATTAACATGCAATAAGCATAAGCATAAGTTGGCATAAATTAGAGTACTATCACCCTTTTCCACTGAACGCTTTCAAAGTTGATTTTTAAATTGGGATATTGGGACGTTGGTGCAGACAACATCTAGTTCTGGGGATACCAACAGTCATCTGACAAACATAATAGGATGAGAAACTTTTACAAAATATCCCAAATACAATTAGTTCCATAAAATCATGTTTTTTTATTCCAGTTCTGCTATCACCTCTGATGCAAACTTCACCATTAGTGATGTGAAAACTGACATGTTTTCAGGACCCAAATTTTCTCATCTGAATGTAGAGCTGACAGACTAAAAAATTCCCAATATCCTTTCTGATTTTAAGATGCAGTGGGTCTAAGACTCCCTGTCCCAATTTGTTTGGCTGGTACTCTAGGGAAGAGCTGGTATGTGCCTGAGGTCAACGTGGGGCATAGACGGGCCCCCACTGTGATAGGACCGATGGGAAGGGGTAGGATCGAGGTTGGAGCTATAAGTAATGGACAGAGCAGAAAGCAGGGCTAGATTCTGGAAGGCCAGGAGCAAAGTTAGAGAGCACAGAACTTGACCTTAGGAAGCCAGGGGGTGGCAGCCACCGTGGGAGTTCTGTCCCAACACGGGCCCTGAATCTTCCCACAGAGCCAAACTTTGTTGAAAACACAGCTATGGTCTAGAAGACCAGCTTAACGAGAACAAATTAACAGCAATCAACAGACTGTAGGCCTGCAAGGGATGAGGCTGCTGGCAAGTGAGAAATTTAATAAAGGTTTAAGACAGCCTTGGCACAGCCATTCTTCAGCCACTCCTGCCACACAATGTAGTGTCACCGGCCAGGCTGTGTAGGGGACTGGCTGATGATATTTTTAAAGGCTATCAGACCTTCTCGGGCCGATATGGTTCTAATACGTCTATCCCCACAAGGTTGAGTTAGGGTCCAAGTGCCTGAAAAATTTCATTTTTAAAGATTTACTGCTTTTGGTGAAATGAGTTAAGAGCCAGTGCTTCTGAAACCACTAAGCACATATTTCACTGCCCAGGAAACCCTGGAGCCTGGAGATGGATATGTAAATGTTTCCCATAATGAGGATTTGGACTAAAGAAATGTGCATATTAGGAAAAGCAGACAGAGCAAAATGTTAGTGTGTCTTGGAAAATAACTGAATTTTAGATATTCAAGGTTTCTGTTTATTAACAATGGAGTATGTTTTACTTTACAGTTTGGCTTTCTTTTCAAGGAAAAAGAATCTTTAAGAAAATTCCAAGAAAGATGTTTTCTTCTTGTGCCAATTTTCTTAATGTATATCTCAATTTCTTCTGGTTTTAGCTCTTTCCTTGGGAAGGGGGGGGTAACAGAACACTGTGTCTGTGTGCCTGTGCTGAGGACGGAAGAGAAGGAAATAGCTCTAGCTCAGAGACTAAGTAAATTAAATTTTAAGAGGAGGATTTCAAAATAAGGACTGTAAAGGAAGGGCAAATAGAAGTTGTAAAAATCTTCCTCAGATCTAGACATTCCAAAGAGCTCCCCGGCCAGGCTGTTTTATTCGCAGGCCTGTGTGGCAGGCCCAAGCAGGAGAAGCAGCGGCTTCACACTGCCTCCGCGCACAGGACGCGGACCTCCGGGGCCCTGCACCTGCCTATTTGCATGTGTAATCTTCGTGTGATTACGTGACATATCAAACCACTTAAATGATCTCCAAACTACCTCACCATGGGTACTCAAAGCAAATAAAGCCATTTCCAATGGTTCTAGCGTAAAAGTTTATGGTTCAGAATAACATCTAAACTTGTCGACCCCATGGCCAATAGTCATGCCCAATACGGGACACACACCTTCACAGGGCTCCTCCATCGACTCCGTCCTAAGGTTCTTATCGTGCTTATGGCTCTGGTACCAGAGACAGATACGGGACGGCCAGGAAGGAGCCTGTATCAGAATGGTGGTAGGCAATGAGATAGCATCTCATCCTTATAAAAATGGATATTATTTAAAAAAACAACAAAATATAAGTGTTGGTGAGGATATGGAAAAAAGGGAACTTTTATACACTGTTGGTGGGCATGAAAAATGGTATAACCACTATGGAAAACGCTATGGAGGTTCCTCAAAAAATTAAAAATAGGATATATGACCCAGCAATCCCATTTCTGGATATATATCCCAAGAAAATGAAGTCAGTACCTTGAAGACACACACTCACACTCATTGTCTTTCTCTCTGTCTCTCCCTCATGTTCATTGCAGCATTATTCACATCCAAGAAATAGAAATAATTTAAGTGACCGGTGATTGATAAATCAATCAAGAAATTGTGAAATACATATATATCACAATTTGATACATATATAGTAATATTACCCATCCTTATAAAAGGAGATCCTGCCATTTGCAACAACATGGAAGAACCTGGACGACATTACACTAAGTGAAATATGCCAGACACAATAAGAAAAAACTGCACGACCTTGTTTATATGTAGAACCTAAAACAGTCAAATACATAGAATCAGAGAGCTAAACAGTGGTTACCAGGGGTCAAAGGGCACTAAGTTGCAGTTCTATAGGTAAATAAGTCTGGAGCTCTAATGGGCAGCATGGTGACTATAGTTACTAATACTGTACTTTACCCTGGAAATTTGCTAAGAGAGATTTCAGAATGCAAAATAAATAGTACAGAATACAGAAAAAATAGTAACAATGGAAGAAGAAAATATATTAATGAGCTTGACTGTTAGTAATCACTCCACTAGTATATGTACATCAAGTCATCATAAACACCTTAAATACATACAGCTTTTATTAAGTAAAAAAAGTAGTAAAAACAGGACCAGCCATGTTTAATATCAGGGCATGACTTTTTTTATTTTTAGTTCTCACCCGAGGATATGTTTATTGACTTTCTCTTAGAGAAAGGCGGAGGAGAGAGAGAGAGAAACATTGATGTGAAAGAGAAACAGAGATCAGTTGCCTCCCCTAGGTGCCCTGAGTGGGGATCAAACCCACAATCTAGGTATATGTGCCCGCACAGGGATCAAACCTACAAACTTTTATTGCATGGGATGATGCACTAACTAACTGAGCCACCTGGCCAGAGCAGGGAGTATAACTTTTTAAAAAAGTTTTATTTTGGTAAGAAAACTTAACATGAGATTTACCTTCTTAACAAGTTTTGACTGCAGACACAATGTTGTATAGTGCATCTCTAGATAATCATTCATCTGAAACTTTACACCCATTGATCACTCCTCATTTTCTCTCCACCCAGCCCCTGGCAACCACCGTTCAACTCTTTGATTCTATGAATTTGACAATTTTAGATGCCTCATTTAAGTATAATCATGCAGTATTTGTTTTTCTGTAACTGACTTACTTCACTTAGTATAATATCATCAAACTGTATCCATGTTGTCACATAGTTCAGGATACCCATCTTTTAAAAAACCGAGTAACATTCCATTTTGTGTGTATTCCATATTTTCTTTCTTCATTCATCTGTTGATAGACATTTAAGTTGCTTCCATATCTTGGGTATTATGAATAACACTGTAATAAACATGGGAGTGCTAATATCTCTTTGAGATCCTGATTTCAGTGCTTTTGGAAATATACCCAGAAATGGGTTTGATAGATTATATGGTAGTTCTAGTTTTCATTTTCGGAGAGACATCCATGCTGTTTTCCATAGTGGCTGCACCACTATGGGAAATTTTTCATTCCCATCAACAGTGTGTAATGGTTCCGATTTCTCCACATCTTCGCCAACCCTCCTTGTCTTTTGTTCTTTTTATTTCTCCAAAGAAGGCACACAGATGGCCAACAGGTAAATGAAAAAAAGCTCAATATCATGAATCATCAGGGAAATGCAAATCAAAACCACCAGAAGATACCACCTCACACCTGTCAGAATGGCAATTATCAGGCAGTGACTTTCAAAAAGTATTTCCACTTGGATCTATAGTGCTTCATGATCGTCATTTTAAATCAACCAACATATCCAAATATACTTAGTGTCCTATGTATGCCTTATGCATAGCACTCATTTGTTCATCAAATATTTACTTTGCATCTACTATGTCAGGTATTGGGTTTGATATATGAGTATAATGAAAATATGATGATAAATAAAAACAAGTTCCTGCCTTAAGAGCTCAGCCTAGTGGGAGAGAGACACAAACAGATAATGATAGAGGTAGTTACAATAATGGGTGTATGCAAAGGTTGTTATGAGTAGAGAGGGCATGGATATTGAACCAGAATAGTTTTATGAGAGCTGGAAGTAGCAGATGTCTCTGCTTTGTCTCAGATGAGCAGGAGCTTTATAGGAGAACAGAGGGCGCCACAGGTGGGAGTGATTAACCAGGAATAGAGGCATGGAGGCATAAAAGAGCACAGTTTATTTAAGAACAATTATCTAAGAGCAATTCGCTGCTGCTATAGTGTAAAATGTA